AATAAACCTTAAAAAAAAATCTGGCCAATACAAAGGTCTTAAGACTGATCTCTTCTCTTTTATATCCTAGTAGAACTATATTTGAGATTATATCCCAAGAATATAACTTGAAAATTTTATTGATTTAAAACCTATCAATAATTTTACAAAGGTTGAAAAATCAGGAAACAATCATTGTGTTGGTTGTCCATTAACCCTCTCCTGTTGGATAATCCCCAACAACCTGGGTAAAATCAACTGTGTGCCATTTCTATGGCAGAACCCAAGCAGATGAGCATTAGTAGAGAAAAAAGCACTAAATTGGGCCCATGATTTTTAAATTCACCAATCTCAAAAGAGCAATTATTATTTCTCCAAAATCTTGTGTTTTTTTTTTTTAAAGCAAGTTGTCTTCCTAATTTCCAGATGCTACTGTAATAGTCACCATTTTTCTTTAACCAAATGAGCAGTATTTACAAGGTCATTTAAGTGAGAAAACCTGAGTCATTCATGAAAACTCCTTCATATCCATTCATCACCAAATCCTATTCAATCTCAACAAATATATCTTCAATTTGTCACCTCTTTTTTTCTTACAGCCACAATTAAAGCCATCACATGAGTGACTGAAATATTGTCTTTTAATTAGTTGACCCATTTTCATTCTCATCTTTCTCCAATCTACAGCAGTGATTTATTTTTAAAAATGTATAAAACTAATTCATATGCATCATAATAATTCAACACAGCAATTTATAAAGAACAGCTATGTTCTCTGTCTATCCCTTTCCAATTGTAATGCTCCCAGGTAACCAACCTCACACTAAATATGGGATGTGTATGAATCATTCCATTCTTTTTTCTATGATTATACAGAAATGTATTTTTGGATTGGTTCTTTTACTGTTTTTTGAAAGACAAATTACATTCTACACAGCATATTACATCATAATTTACTTATTATTTTTTACGTAATGATGTATCATATTATTTACCAAATTTTTTATTCTTACAGGTCAACGTATAGTTTTTTCTTTGTCTATTTTGAATAATCATGCAATATTCCAAAGAATGGAAGTACTGGAATAAATAATAACTTTCCCTTTGAAGGACATTGGGCAGCATAGTCTTTTCAAAATATAACTCAGATTCCTGTTTCCTTTATAGGCTTTCTTTTTTCTCCCCATGGAAAAAGAGCTATTTTTCCTCCATGGCCTACAGTACTGTGAATGATCTGGTTTTTGCCTCTCTGATTCACCTCCTACTATTCTTCCCCTTGATCACTAAAGTCTACAATTCACCTTCTGATAAGTTTTTTTTTAAAGATTTATTTATTTGAAAGTTAGAGTTAAAAAAAAAGAGAGGGAGAGACAGAGAGAGAGAGAGGGAGAGAGAGAGATCTTCCATCAGTTGGTTCACTCTCCAGATGGCTAGGAGTCAGGAGCTTCTTCCAGGTCTCCCATCTGTGTGGCAGGGGTTCAAACATTTGGGCCATCTTCCACTGCTTTTCCTAGGCCATTAGCAGGGAGCTGGATCATCTCCAGAACCAGAGCCCATATGGGATGCCAGCATTGCAGGTGGTACCTTTGCCTTCTATGCTACAATACCACCCCCACCTCCACCCCGGCTTTGTTTCAATCTCTTCTTGATCTTGAATAATTTCCATTCTTTTTAAAAAAGAGATTCATTTATTTGAAAGACAGACTGACAGAGAAAGAGGGAGAGAGATCTTCTACCCACTGATTTACTCCCCAAATGGCTGCAACAGCCAAGTCTGGATAGGCCGAAGCCAGGAGTCAGGAACTCCAGCTGGACTCAGCCCATTAACTTGCTGCACCAAACCGCAAGCCCCACGATGCCTACTCAACCTGGTATAGATCATATCCAAGGAATTTTAAAGATTTGTATTGATTTATAGGAATGATCAATCTCTGCTTTCTGTACTAGGCACTATGTTCTACGAGGACTGAGAGTCCACCGCTGACCAGTTTCGGTGACCTGCCAACACCGGGGACAATGTCTAAAGGTAAAAGATTCTTCTTAGGGTCACATGGGTAGTAAGCTTACATCAAATTATACATGCAAACATATGTATATGAAGAAATGGTAAAATATAGTGTAGTAGAAGGAGCACTGAACTGAAAGGGTGGTAACCCTGTCACTCTTTGGTGACTTAAGAACTGTCACTTCCTGTCAGTGTCCATAAATGAATGACGCTCAATGTAGGTGTGGCATTGCCCCCTAGTGTTGGATACTCTAGGAGGTACTGCTGGCCTGGTACCTACAGGTGCAAGGTCTGCTAGACATCCTGCAAAATGCGAAACTGTTTTCCCAGCATGCATTCCTCAGGACTTTTTAAATATCTCTTGTAGATGAAAGCTGCTTATAATTATCTGAACCTAAAAGGCAACTCACTTCACATGTTTGGTTTACTGCAGGGTGAATGTTCTGGGAATGCATCTATAGTGAACAATGAAGACAGGTGAGTATTGTCCATCAGAGGTGGCCAAAACACCATACTAGTGTCTGTTGGCATTTGTAGCTTCCATATGCGTGGGATTTTATGTTTGAAAATGGTGCCTTAATTTTATTTTCTCAGTCATGCCTGAGCATTTATATACTGAAACGCAGATCATCTTAATATAGTTCCCTTGCATATTTTAAATAGAGCAGTATTTAAAAACAAAATCATGTGTGTATGTAATTATATTATGTATGAATTTCATTTTAGGCTAATAAGAGAGACACTATGAAAATATTTTTCAAAGGACTTTTGGGTAAAATAAGATCACCACTGGATCAGGTGATGCTTATCCCTTCCAGGGGTTTTGTGTGTGTGTGTGTGTGTTTAGCTTATTTATCTATTTTATTTGAAAAACAGGGAGAGAGAGTGAGAGAATTCTTCCATCTGCTGGTTCATTCCCCACATGCCCACAACAGCTAGGACCAGGCCAGCCTGAAGCCATGAGCCAGGAGCTAGATCCAGGTCTCCCATGTGGGTGGCAGGGACCCAAGAACCTGAGCCATCATCTACTGTCTCCTAGAGTGCACATTGGCAGGAAGCTGGGTCAGAGGTGGAGGCAGAACTGGATCCCAGGCACTGCAGTGTGGGGAGGTGGCAGTTTAACCTGCTGTGCCATGACATCCACTCCTCTTTCAGTTCTTAAGGGTTTTTTTGTTTGTTTGTTTGTTTTGTTTGTTTTTTTTTGACAGGCAGAGTGGACAGTGAGAGAGAGAGAGACAGAGAGAAAGGTCTTCCTTTGCCGTTGGTTCACCCTCCAATGGCCCCCGCGGCCGGCGCACTGCGGTCGGCACACCGCGCTGATCCGATGGCAGGATCCAGGTACTTCTCCTGGTCTTCCATGCGGGTGCAGGGCCCAAGCACTTGGGCCATCCTCCACTGCCCTCCCGGGCCACAGCAGAGAGCTGGCCTGGAAGAGGGGCAACCGGTACAGAATCCGGTGCCCCGACCGGGACTAGAACCCGATGTGTCGGCGCTGCAAGGTGGAGGATTAGCCTAGTGAGCCGCGGCGCAGGCCCTTAAGGTTTCTAATTTTCAATAATGGAGACGATTCTATTTCACCCTTTTCATTGTTTTATTTATATGTCACTATAAAATTGGTTATCAAGAAAAATAAACATATGGCTAAAAAATTATGGGTCACCTATACTGAATGTATAATTTTATCTAAAGACGAATCCAAATGATTTCCCAAGTTTCCTTACTAGTTAACCATTTTGGTTTTGTAATTTAAAGTTTACAGTGAAATGTGAACTTCATATTTTAAATTTACACCAAATAATCATTGTTTCTGGGTTGGAAGCCAATTTTTTTTTTTTTTGTCCCAGTAAGATTAGGTTCATAGACCTAAAAGTGCAACGTGTTTCCCTACTCCCCTTCTTTGTTTTAAACATTTTCCTTATCAGTTACGCCCCACCACCCATTTTAAGAATGTCTTTTTTGAATGGATTGCTGCCTGTCCCTGACCGCACCCTTACCTTACACTAGAATAGCGACCCCGTTTTGACCACCGCTGTATCCCGAAAGTTTAACACGGTGCCAGACACACAGGAGGAGCTCCGTGAGTATCAGAGGCACGAACGGGCAAATACACTTCACACGCTAAAAGGACTGCTCGGAGCGCCACTTCCAGCAGAGTGCGAGGGGGCCAAGCCGAGGGACCACTTTGGGATCGCGCACTCCTGGGTGCTGGAGGGGGCTGGGGTCGCGTTCCTTCACCTCCCCCCCCCCCCCCCCGGGCCTGCAGCCGGTGCGCCGGGAGCACTCGGCGGTTCAGACAGGACCCCGGCCTAACGCTACCGTGCACCGAAGTCCGCACGGTGTTCTTCAGTCCAGAAACACACGGTATTCGGAGTCCATGCATCTCGCCCGTGCAACCCGCACAGGACATCCCTGCTCCGGAGCTTTCGCGCGGCGGCTGGGCTCCAGGGCGGTGCCCCCGGGACTGCGCGGAGACGGGGACACGAGTTCAGGCTCCGGGTGCGCACCCACACGAGTTCAGGCTCCGGGTGCGCACCCACACCCACGCCGGTCTCCAGTTCTCGCCCCAGGTCGAATCCCGCGCTCTGCCTGCACCTCCTCCCCGCCCCCTGGAGAGCCCTCAGTTGGGCGCGGCGGCCAAGACAGGTCCCCGGCGCCCCTCACATTGGCTAGGCTCGCCCCGAGTTTCGGTTTACCGCATTTCAGCACACGGAATCGCTAACGACAACCGCCGAACAAATGACATTGGGGCAGCACACGCCGCCTGAGGAGGAAGCAAAACACGAAGAAAGGCGTCAGTCTCACAGCCACGTGAGGTGGGCGAGCCCGTCCGCCCTCAAGGCTGAGGACTTCAACTCCCAGCTTGCCCCTGGGCGGGTACCCTCCGAGGACTACAACTCCCAGGGAGCCGCGGGAGAGGCCGCCGCAACCTCCCACTCGCCCGCCGGCCGCTCCTCCCGCCCCTCCCCCGCCCCTCCCGGCTGGATCGGCGTGCGCCTGCGCACCGGAGGCCAGAGGAGTCTTACCCAAATGTAAGATGGTGGCCCGTCTGGCTGTGGAACCCACCGAAAGCTGAGAGTCTCCCTCTCAGCCGTAAAGGTCGGACTCGCTGAAGCAATCAGGCCCGGTTCTGAAGAGTTTTCTCCCCGACACTCGTTCAGTGGTCTCTTGTGAGGACGCGGCAGCGCGCGGAGTCGTCTAAGGGAAAAGCGAGGCAAGGCAGGCGGGTGAGTCTATGCGGGGCTGGGCTTAGGGGAAACCCGGGGCTGACCGGCTACGAGAGAGCGGAGGCTTCGCTGGGACTGTGCAGGCCGCACCCCCCTTCCTCCCCACCCCCCGCCTCATCTCAGCCTCCTCCTCCTCGGCCTTCCTCCTCCTCCTCCTCTCTCTCCCTCAGCCCTCTACGCCACAGCAGTTAGCACCAGGAAAAGGGAGCGGGGCAGGAGGCAGCGCGGCGGCCAGCGCCGACTCCCCTTCGATCGTTTCTGTAATTGGGGAGGGCGAGGCGGCTGCCGCTCCCCGGCGTCTCCCCCCGCTGCGATTTTCTAGGGGCAGATCCTCGGGTCTCGGTCCTCCCTGTCTCCCCGGCCCCTTTCCCCTCCCTGTCGTCCTTTCGCGCCGGCCCCGGTCCCCCCAGCCCAGAGCCATCACTCCCACTCTGACCCGTGTCGTCGCCGCTGGCCTCTGGCTCCGCTGCTGCCACTCTGGAGTTCGCCCTCGCCCCCTGCGGCGCCTCCAGCCGGTCCCCCCGGGTCTGTCTGCCTCCGTGGGGCGGCTTCCGATGTGCAGCCCGGCTTCCGTGAACCGCATCTGTCATCCCGCAGCCGCCCCTAAGAGTCTCGCTCGTGCCGCCGCTGCTCCTTGCGACCCACCTGTTCCTCAGCCTGCTGGGGGACTGCCCGTCCCTCGCCTCTTCCGACACAGACTTCGGGCGAGAGGGCTGCCCCGGCTCGGTCCTGGAGGAGTGAAGGAAGTTGGGAAGTGACTGGAGCGAGGTAGCACACTGTGGAGCGATGGGAGTGGGGGCTGCCGGGGAAGGAGCGGCTACGTTTGGCTTTCGGCGATCTGTGTGTCGAGGACTCGCTGTGTTGTCTTTTCTTTCCCTCTCTGCACTGCTTTTTCCATGCTGAATTGCCTCTCCCCAGGACACTTAATGTGGGCTCTGATTATACCAATAAGTAGTAGCCTGAACATTGCAAAGTAAGATAAATCTGGTGTACCCCAAGGCTCGTCTGCGAACTGCACACCCAAATATAGATGCTATTCTGATGAGATGTGAGTTACGGACCCCTTCTGTGTTCAGAATTGATTATTGACCAAGTGAGTGATATTGATGTTCAGCTTCATTGAGGACATATTTTATTTATGGTTTCAGTGGAAAATTCCTCTCCAGCTAATATCAGGTTTATACAGTATTTTTGGATTTGGAAAGTTCTGTTAGACACTTCTAGGGTGATAGTTATCCCAAAACGTTATCTTCTCTTGAAAATCTATTATGTATCCCAGAAGAAAATCTAGTCTTTGTAAGCCTAAATCACTCATATCTATCTATCTATCTATCTATCTATCTATCTTTTTTCTTTAAAAAAGAAGGGGGCTGGGAAAAGTAATGACAAAGCTGTACGCCTGTGTGTATTTGGTGACAGTCCCTGTGGTTGTTGTCTGCAATAGGGAGCAGAAAACTACAAGTGAGAGGTGGCTTGCGCTGTCCATGTTTTGAAGAAAGCAAAATTGAAATATTCTGACTAATGGCACAATGGGAAGAAAGAGCCTTTCTGCAGACCCACTGTGGAAAAGAACTACCAGAAAAGCAAACAGGATTACGTAGATAAGATACATACATGTCAAGTTTAAATAAGACATTATGTTCTTAAGATATGTGTAAGAATGTTTATAGTAACAATCTCTTGCAGGAATCCATCTCTTACTTGCAAAAGTAAGAATACTTTAAATGTAAATAGAATACAGTTTCCCTTTAGTTACTTTTGCACATTACTGGCTTATTGTAATTTTTTGCAAATTTTACCTGTAAGGCTTGAATCTTAAACCTGGCATTATATTTGCTTGATTGTGATAAATGGTCTGTTTTACCCAAAGTAAGCTAAGATTAGAAAAGCTGTTTATAAAACTTCTTCTTTCCTGTCAACTATTTAAGTCCTGATTTGGGGAAACTAAATAAATCCCTACTCTTGAGAATTGGAAATAATTTATATAACAAACCTTGTCCTAGGTTGTAATTTAAGGTTTAAAAAAATATTGCTTAAATGCAGTTTATCAGTACAAGTGTATTCACTACAGTTGCTCTTCATCTCCTCAGTAATAGCTCATGCTGGTGGAGAAGCTGTCTACTTTGAACAATCCATACACAGGTTTAGAAACCCTTGGCAGTCATACTTGGCTGGGTTGTAGCAGTGTGTTCTAGGAGAGGACTGTTTGTCTGGCAGAAGGAGGAAATGATTTTAATACATCTTTTTCTTTGGTAAAGCTTTTTTACTTCACTAATTATTTTCTCAGTTTTCTCCTCTCTTACTTTTTGCTGGTAGTCATCAGATTCTTAGTTTCAGTCCTCTAAATTAAAAAAAAATGAACTTACTTTGGATCTTCAGTCTGCCTGAAGAAGATACTTAAAGGTTTTTGACATTTGGATGGAAAGTAGGGAGCTGAGATTTTTAATATTTTTGTATAGTTTTTTAGTTGTGATGGTATGATCATTACAATTTCATACTTGCATGGTTTCTTCTGGTAATTTGAAATACTCTATGCCACAATCAACGGCCGAATTCTTCAAATGAATAGGTTATTTCTACAAGAAGAATTTTGAACATGACTTAAAGATGGATTATTATAAAATTTGTTTTCAGAAAGTTGCACAGACAAATCTTTAATTCTGTTAGGATGTGACAGTTAAAACAAACAGGGAGATAAAATTGTTTTGCAATGTCCTTCAACTTCAGTCTAAATGGAAGTACTGGTGATAGCTTTCAACTCACTATTTTGGAAAAGAAAGAGTGTTACCTGAGGACACACTTCTAGCATCAGGGCGTTTTATTTTAAAAATGGTTTTTATGTCTTAAGAGAATGAAATGAACATCATCTCAGTTCAAGTCGTTTGGTTTTAGAGGTCTTCCCCTTTTCCTCCTGCCTACTCCCAGTTTTAAAATGAAGCTGCTTTCTTGATTTTAGTGATTTCTTTATGTAGCTGAAGATAACACTTATGTGACTTTTAAGCCTCAGTGTTATTGTTTTTATAGACCATCTAAGTGAGATAGAAAGTTTTAATTTGTAAAACTTCAGCCTCTGCTGAAAATTAAGTTAGCTTGCTCTCAGTAGCTATAATACTGTCTTGACTTTTTGTGAAAAGTTACATGCAACTCTGTTAGTACCTAAGAAAACAGTTGGGAAATAGGTTAGAGATATTTGCTGTTCTAGAAACAGTATAACTAGAATGTACTACATACTTTTCTCAAAGGATTTCTTCATCTAAATGGATCTTGTAAATGGTTTTCATCCCACTGGAATAGTATGTAGTGGATAAGACTTGCTAACACATTCTGAGATTTTATAAATTTTATGTTCCTTCAAAGATGTTAGGAAAAATTTGCAAGTACCCATCCTTGAATAAAGTGTGACAGTTTTCTGGAGATTTAATATATATTTCTCAAAAATTGATAGTATGCAAATTATAAAGGTAGTATAATTTATTGACTTATTTTGGCGATGTAAGGAAAGAAGTGGAACTTTTAAAATCATGTATTTAGTGGTTTTCTAAAATAACTTATTTCAAAAATGTTTTCAATCTAGTTTCGTGGATTCTTTGTTCTAGGAGATTATATGGTAAATGTTAACTTTTTCAATGCAGTAATTTAATGGATTCTGTCACACATTTCTTATTTGAGAGGGAGAGAGGGGGGAAGAGCGAGAGAGCGAGGGAGCGAGGGAGCAAGTGAGCGCATGCTCACCTCTGCTGGTTTACTACCCAAATGGCCACAATGGCTGGGCCTGCTAGGGCCATAGCTGGGAATTCAATTGAAGTCTCCCAGGTTGGTAGTAGGAACCCGATTACTGGAGTGGTCACCATTGCCTCTCAGTTTTCCTGCATTAACAGGAAGCTGGAATCAGGAGCCGAAGACAGAATCATCAGGCACTTTCCCATAGATCTGGGTGTCTTACCTCCAGGCTCCTGTACCCACACGTTTCTTTTTTATGTTGTGATTCTTTTATTTTTCAATCAGAAAACTGTTTATGGAAAATTTCAACACTATTTGAGATTCTAGTTGCATGTTTGTTTTTTATCAGAAGAGAGAAATTAACTTACATGCTACTAAAAAAGATGGTTAATTTTACTTGTGAGAAATACCTAACTTACAGATAGTATGTGAATGAGTTTCTTTTCTTTCTAGGAAGTTTATCTGTGAGCATAGCTTCTTTACTAAACTGTTTATACCCTGGGAGGTTGTCCTGTTTTAATTGTACCAGATGGTGGGCAAACGATATATTGCTATTTGAATAAACCTTACTATTTGTATAGGTGAATATGTCAGATATTGTCCCAACAAATATTTCTTTTTAAGTTATGTTTGCTAAAATCTTATCTCTTGAGTTTTTAAAGAAATTATAGAGTATAATTGAAGATCAGCATAATCAGAATGGCTGCAGATGTAGCCAGTTTGGGGTGGAGGGGGAAGTCAAGGTGAAAAAAGCAGTGCAAGTGGAAGAATAAAAGTGGTAGGTGCCATATTACTACTTTTGGAAGGAATTAGTAAATGATGTTTTAGTGGAAAGTAGTGTTTAAATTGTGAAAAGTAACCATGGACTGAAATATCAGAGGTGGAACATTCATTAAACCTCAACAGGTACATTATCATTAAGCCAAATATCTGGAATTTCAGTCCTTGGAATAAAGAGGAGGTGTGATTTTCTGATTACTTAAGACTTTATTGACCGATTCCCTGTTAGATTTCTTTGTATTATGAATTTCCTGAAATGACGCTAACATAGGGTTATTAAACATTGGTTGTGGCAACTTTTTCACTTTTTAAAGATTTCTTGCCTCCTGTATTTTGCTTATGATTTTTCTGATGTTTTTTATTTTCAGCAATTAATTTCAGTGGGCCATTTTGTGAATGCCATAATTGAAAATTTGTAGTATAAAATGTATTACTTTGGTGGTAAGATTAATTTGTCTTTTAATAGAAATCCCCCTCCATTTTGGTTTTATTTTTGCCTC